TGCAGCTCATCTCTAGACAGAATATGTCCAAATGCAAGGTCTGGAAATGCACTGCTAGTAATACGGGTTTACAGTTTTGCAAGAATTTATCATGTACTTATTACCTCAAACTGCACATCTTCACTTTATTCTCAGACAATTAACATTGAAAAAAACAACCACCAACACCACTAATTTCAGAACTCTTATTTCAGAAAGCATCAGGTAAGATGACAGTCCACAATTTCTAGTTTTGATGAGGACAATGTTCTGAGCTGCCCAAAGATTGTGGTCTTATTTCTGTATTTTACTTTTTTCCCTTAAAGTCATTCAGGTTCTCAAATAAACATTGTTTTAGAAAAAGAAAGATTGAAGACTGATATAAACCCATTAGTACAAACTGCTCAATTTAACTCGCAATAAAGCAACCTCAAAGCTTGCACTACAGTAATCAGTTCATATGATACTGGAGTAAAAGATGCCACAAATACATACAGTTTAAAACTCTGAAGCATATGTGGATTGAGGAATTTTTTTCCATAAGATGTTCACCCAGCGGTCAACAAACAAGCACAGGGACAAATCATCATTAAACAGCATGTTTCAGATGGTTACGCTGATCCTCAAAAGCAAATCCAATTAGATTTCACCACAGCAAGAGAATCCAACAATACCATCAACTGCGCTGGGTTTTGCCCAGAAAACCTTCTGTAGTAAGCTCAGCATTTGTCGTGCTTGCTCATTATCTTACATGCACCATTTTCCATCAGCTTTTTCTCTTTACTCTGTGTTCTAATGAGTACTTGACCCAGGACCCATACAATCCCACCCCTGCAATAATGCTCTGTGGCTGTCACCAAATCACTCCAGCAATTTAAGCAGCCCAACAAAAAAGTTAACATTCTTTTTTAAACTTAACTTCTACAACCACCAACAAAGCTGCAAACAAAAATTTAAACTAGAAAGAGAAGTTACACCTCTCTGTTATACTTTGTCCTTGCCTTTTATACATTGTCTTACAAAGTAGGAATAAATAACAAATCTTGAGATGACCCCTTTCAAAACCAGAAAACTTTCACAAAAACAGGAGCAAGATATCACCCTGTTTCACCAACACAGAACCTATAAAGATTTGTTTCATATATCATCTAAATGTAAATGTTAAATGTCATACGTTCCCAAAGCAGCACCATACTAATGCTGTCACTCAGCTGTTGAACAGGTACTATTCAACTGACTACACAGTTTGACAGGCAACATTTTTAGCAGGCTCTCCTTTACAATTCACAGTCACCAGGTCAGACATCTCAAGACTGGCAAGAGTTTCTAGCTGCAGGTCAACTAAAGCAACCCAAGCAGGTCTTGTTATAAAAGTCAAACTAATAATTGGGGCAGCCCACAAACGTTCTTGCTGGCATGCTTCAGCGAGGCACAGAGCATCTTGCTTTAATGTTTATTGCCTTTCCTTATTCTTTGAATGACTTAAAACTTAAGATTCATGCAGAGCAGGCCACCTCCTCCCAGCTTCTCTGATCCCAGTCTGAACCGTGCTCCATTTTGCAACGTTAGGAACACTGACATTCCTCTTGGCATAGACACACACACTACTTTGGAGGTAAAGGGGAGTCCAACAAGGAAGACTAATGGCTTATTTGCCTTCTAAATTGAACCACGTTTACCTGACTTAGAGTTATCAGTAAACCTGATTTCCCAAAGATTCATGCAAAGGGGTTGCAGTGTTAACCAGTGATACCATCTCCTTGCTGAATCTCACAGACATGCTATGAATTGAAATGGAAGTAAAACAGACTGCAGTAATGGCAGAAAATAGTTTGGGTCAAATCATCTTTGAGATTAATAATAAAAAACAGGTTTTGCTGAGCAGCTTTTTATTAAAAATAGCATCAGATAGCAAAAAGAATTATTTAATGCTTCTATAAAGGCAAATGCTGCTGGGAATGGCATCATCATGGGTAATAGAGATTGGTAAAGCACTAGCAATAACAACACAGCCTAGACAGTCCTCAGTACAAGGACCAATTCCCCC